GCGCAGGGCGTGCAGGGACGGCGGGGCAGCCGCCCACGGGGATGGCGGGACGGCCACCGCACACGCCACAGCACCCATCGCCAGCATCGCAGTGCCAGCCACGGCCCCCCTGCAGTGACGTTTCAGGCTTATGAACGAAGCAAAAAAAACCTCTTGATTTGATAATATGGGGAGGAAGGGAGATCTAGAAGGCCAATTCTGCACTGGTGATTAAAAAAAACAAGTCAAAAGACACTCCAGGAGGGATGAAAAGGGCACCAGGCCAAGGAAACAACAGAGACCCCACACAGGGGAGGGCAGTAACCGATAAAATGTCACCAGGAAACATCCGTAACAGACAGGTCGTTTCTACAGCAGGCGTATCACACGCTGTAATAGCCTGAAACCAGCGGCTGCCAGTGCCAGGACAATATAGTCATTGCTGGAGTCACCGGGAGTGCAGATTAGATCGGGCACCCCAAGGGTGGCACCGCTGTCGGGGAGCAAGGGTCCCCCCAAACACCGCCCACCGGCACAGACGCTGATGCCCTGCCCCAGTCTCCCTGCCCTCCCTTCTTCTTTTAACCCACAGGTTGAGTCAGCCTCCAGAAAGGCCGCCCAGATGCATTTCCCAATCCCAAATGTATTTTGTTTTCACACAGCTAAGTAAATATTTCAAAGGGCGACGGAGTCCCACGGATGCCCAGAGCCCCCCTGCCGTGCCCAGGCACTGCCCATGCCCAGCCGGTCCCCCAGCCATGGGCAATCACCAGGTTTTCAGCAAGAAGGGGGTCGGCTGCATTAAGTGCTTGGCAACTAAACGGCTTGAAATGCAGTTTTAAATGCTTGTTTCCAGCCTCTCCCTTCCCATACACGCACCCTTTGCGGTGGGGCCAACGCCGGCACCTTACGCCAGTGGTTACACCAGCAACAAGCAGAATCACAGAATGGTCGGGGTTGGAAGGGACCTCTGTGGGTCATCTAGTCCAACCCTCCTGCCGAAGCAGGGTCACCTACAGCAGGCTGAACAGGACCTTGTCCAGGCCGGT